AAAGCTAACATAGCCATCCATTGGTTGCTACCGGCACCAAGGATATCCACGAAGGGACTGTTCCCTGGCAGAGGGGGGAAATCTGGAGCAGAAGCTTCAAAGGGAAGCCAGATAAATTTTCCTCCAAACCAAAAAAAAAATCCTCAGCATGACAGACAAAAAGAACCTTTGTGTCTGAAACCTCACAACTCCTGTGCAAGACTCTTCCTTCTGATCCTCCCTCTACCCAGAGTCTTAAGTATTTGGTGGTAGTCACAGCAAGGCACAGGTCTCACATTACACTCTATACTCATACATAAACAACGTGCAAGTCTGAGTCAACTATCTTGGACCAGTCTTGGGTTTTTAATTGCAGTGTAGACATACCACCAGAGGCCAAAACAGAGAGGGTTCTTTCTGTAATTTAAACAAAATGATAAAGATTTGCAAAGAACCAAAACTTTATTGCATCAGTCATTTCCTGAGGGTTCATCCAAAGGCTAGGATTGCTAGTGCCAGTCATCAACTTTATCCCCTGAGTGGGTTTCTCAAAATGCGCCTGATGAAATTCCTTCTGAGGACATAGAACCATGCACTTGATGCAATGCAAAATTAGGTATCATTTTCAGATCCAAATTATCCTTTGTGGGCTGGTAAATACAAACAACATGCTGAAGCCAACCCTAATTTCATTGTAGACCCTAAAATCTCATAATACGCATCCTTTAAATTCATTACATCATCTCTATCAGGGTGTGTCTTAAAAAAACAACAAACATGGCCATATAGGATAGAACCAGTGGTCCATTGAGTCCAGTATCAACCAGTGGCTGATTCAGCTGATATCAGTTTAATATGCAAGATACTAGCTAATGGGCAATTATGTACTTGCAGAGGAACCATCCCACCCCATTAGAGGTTGGCTTATGATTGATTGTTTATATACCTTCCAAAACCAGAGGTCTGTGGCAATGGAAAAAATGTCCTGGGCCAAAAAGAATCTATCTTTGAAGACAGTTCACGTAAAGGACACAGAAAAGAGGGAAAGGGAAAGTTGTGGTCCTCCTAGTGCTCCACTGACCCAGAAAGCACTTCGGACTTTCCAGATAGCCAAAGACTTCATGTTTTTCATTCAGAAAACACAGGACTTTTTGAAGCAGTGATTCCATTCATACTGGGTCACACCTGCAGTTAACAGGGTGAGCATTGGAAGAGAAGTGTAATTCAGCATGAATTCTCCATTAATTTCTGATAGTTTGGTATCCACACAGAACTCAACCAGGATATTTCATTCGTTAATCTGGTCAAATTTACGTTTCTGGTGTGAGGGGAAACAGCAGGCTCTTTGGGGCAGTGCTCAGCACAGTGTGGCCCTGATCTCTAGATACTATTATAATACAACTATTATAATAAACTCAAAGTTCTGGTGATCTCAGTTACGCGAGTGTTTCTCCAGGAGGTTTGGTTGGAGTCTGACAATCAAGCACCTTAAATGGTTACCAGCCACAGTGGCATTTTGTAGACAGGCACATCAGATTCTATTTTTGAGTATCTGGTGCCCAGTTTAATCACAATGACAAATTCGAGAAGCCTGAGGCTGGTCTTTCTTGTTGCCATTACTTTTGAAAGGCGAGTTTTGAAATTAGTCCGTATATACATACAGGAACCACACTGCTTTTGTCATTAAGAAAAAGGTTATTCTTATAGCTTCATAGAATATCAGGGTTGGAAGGGACCTCAGGAGGTCATCTAGTCCTGCCCCCTGCGCAAAGCAGGACCAATCCCCAACTAAATCATCCCAGCCACGACTTTGTCAAGCCTGACCTTAAAAACCTCTAACGAAGGAGATTCCAGCACCCCCTAGGTAACCCATTCCAGTGCCTCACCACCCTCCTAGTGAAAAAGTTTTTCTCAATATCCAACCTAAACCTCCCCCACTGGAACTTGAGACCATTACTCCTTATTCTATCATCTGGTACCACTGAGAACAGTCTATATCTATCCTCTTTGGAACCCCCTTTCAGGTAGTTGAAAGCAGCTATCAAATCCCCCATCATTCTTCTCTTCTGCAGACTAAATAATCCCAGTTCTCTCAGCCTCTCCTCATAAATCATGTGCTCCAGGCCCCTAATCATTTTCGTTGCCCTCCGCTGGACTCTTTCCAGTTTTTCCACATCCTTCTTGTAGTGTGGGGCCCAAAACTGGACACAGTACTCCAGATGAGGCCTCACCAATGCCGAATAGAGGGGAATGATCACATCCCTCGATCTGCTGGCAATGCTCCTACTTATACAGCCCAAAATGCCATTGGTCTTCTTGGCAACAAGGGCACACTGTTGACTCTCATCCAGCTTCTCGTCTATTGTAACCCCTAGGTCCTTTTCTGCAGAACTGCTGCCTAGCCACTCGGTCCCTAGTCTGTAGCAGTGCATGGGATTCTTCCTTCCTAAGTGCAGAACTCTGCACTTGTCCTTGCTGAACCCCATCAGATTTCTTTTGGCCCAATCCTCTAATTTGTCTACGTCCCTCTGTATCCTATCCCTACCCTCTAGCATGTCTACCATTCCTTCCAGTTTAGTGTCATCTGCAAACTTGCTGAGGGTGCAATCCACGCCATCCTCCAGATCATTAATGAAGATATTGAACAAAACTGGCCCCAGGACCGACCCTTGGGGCACTCCGCTTGATACCGGCTGCCAACTAGATATTGAGCCTGATGATCGAGTGAGCTTTCTATCCACCTTATAGTCCATTCATCCAGCCCATACTTCCTTAGCTTACTGGGAAGAATACTATGGGAGACAGTATCAAAAGCTTTGCTAAAGTCAAGGAATAATACATCCACTGCTTTTCCTCTCATCCACAGAGCCAGTTATCTCATCATAGAAGGCAATTAGATTTGTCAGGTATGACTTGCCCTGGGTGAATCCATGCTGACTGTTCCTGATCACTTTCCTCTCCTCACTTCAAAATTGATTCCTTGAGGACCTGCTCCATGATTTTTCCAGGAACTGAGGTGAGGCTGACTGACCTGTAGTTCCCCGGATCCTCCTCCTTCCCTTTTTTAAAGATGGGCACTACATGAGCCTTTTTCCAGTCATCCGGGATGTCGCCTGATTGCCATGAGTTTTCAAAGATAATGGCCAAAGGCTCTGCAATCACATCCGTCAACTCGTTTTGCACCCTCAGATGCAGAGCATCTGGCCCCATGGACGTGTGCCTGTTCAGCTTTTCTAAATAGACCTAAACCACTTCTTTCTCCACAGAGGGCTGGTCACCTTCTCCCTATACTGTGCTGCCCAGTGCAGTAGTCTGGGAGCTGACCTTGTTCGTGAAGACAGAGGCAAAAAAAGCATTGAGTACATTAGCTTTTTCCACATCCTCTGTCACTAGGTTGCCTCCCCCATTCAGTAAGGGGCTCACTCTTTCCCGTCCTCCTCCTTGTTGCTAACATACCTGTAGAAACCCTTCTTGTTACTCTTAACATCCCTTGCTAGCTGCAACTCTAAGTGTGATTTGGCCTGTTAAGCCTAGCTGGTTGCCTGCCATATTTACTATTCTTTCTACACATTGGTATGGTTTGTTCCTGCAACCTCAATAAGGATTCTTTAAAATACAGCCAGCTCTCCTGGACTCCTTTCCCCCTCATGTTGTTCTTTTCAGATAGCTTTCCGTTCAAATAAGTTCATCTCTTCACAATTCTGGGGAAATAGTTCTCCCATCATTTTGTTCAAACCCTTGGAAGGTTGTGGTATAAATGAGTATTCCTACAGCTCTAAAGATATATCTCAAGCATATGATGTACATATGCCAATTGTATCCTGTCCATTTCATTCTTTCCAAACTGCCAAGGCCTTACAGCCTCAAGGTTGCTGCAAGCCAGATGTAAAATCCATGCACTAATTGGCATATTAGGCATTGGAAATCTGTTCACAGAAGCCCTAGAGGAAGGCTGAGGAAGATTTGCATAGCAAATTTTAATTTCTCTTCAGAGATGTCTTTTAATAGGAAGGTGCTACTGAGTTGGTTCCCACATAACTCCTTAGTTTATAAAGCTCTTGCTTTATCTGGAGGCGTGTCCATTCTTGCCTGTTGTTAAGCGTAATTTAATTATTATAGTATATCTGCCCCCCCTGAGCGCTCCCCTTCTGGAATTTACTGCTCACTATTTCCTATAAGTAATGGATGAGGAGAAAAGCTGTGCAATAGAATGAGAAATTTCTTACTTAATAATTTTCTTTCTGTTAGCAGCTTTTCTCTGAATTCAACCCACCCTGGTAGTCTGGTATAGGGAGACTTAGACATATATTGTCTTAAGGCCAATTTAATATATTAAATCATGTTGTCTTAGTGCTAATAATGGGTTTCTGGACTGTTTCTGCAGCTGTGGAAGAAGTGTTCTGGTGGCCTGAGCTGAAGAATGGAGCTTAATTTTGGGCATTCTAGCAACAAAATTGGACCATCTCCAAATTCCACAGGTGTGGGGGGTGGGGCATTAGTCCATTGGTAATAAATTCAGAGAGAAGCTGCTAACAGAAAATTATCAGGTAAGACATTTCTCTTTCAATGTGTCATAATTGAGTGAAATCTGAACCATTTTCACTTGAAGACTCAGGTGCTTTTTCTCATTGTGCATTATTTCCTTGCCATATTTCAATTTGCCATTTTTTGCATTAGGCTATAGATTTGTTCAAAGCAATGGTGGGGGAATTATTTTTATAACTGACAGATGTTTACTTTCTTCAAAATTGTGTGGACAGATCCCTGCTCTAAGTGAAGTATTTATCCTCAGCACACAATCAGACTTTTTTTGAGAGCAGTGTCCATATGGCTATGCACAAACGCTACTTAGTTCTTCTGCCTCCAACCTGAGGAATACATAGCCTCAACAGTTCTTCTTGACTTCAATAAGCAGTGAATAGGGGCTGTTTCAATTTCAAAATATTAATCTCTCCTTTTAATATGTCTGTCTTGTTAAATTTACATTTTGATTCAAAGTTCATTTGTTATTTCTGGTTTAGAAAATAAACTGGGATGATTTAGCTGCCAAAAAAATACCAGCTCCGTTTAAACCTGTAATCCGGGATGAGTTGGATGTTAGTAACTTTGCAGAGGAGTTTACGGAAATGGATCCCACATACTCTCCTGCAGCCACACCACAGACTTCAGAGAGAATATTTCAGGTAATTGTAGATTACAACTCTCTTAAAATATACATTTCCCACATGTATGGCCAGATTTTGTCCTTGCCATGTGTGTTTGTGATTGCCATTGAAGTTATTGGGAGTTGAATGCAGAATCAATGGTCAGAACTGGATCATTAATGTAGTTTTAAATTATGCTATGTTACACCTTTTATATAAATCTTTCTTGAGGGTAGAAATTGTGAATTATTAGTAGAGTTGATAGTTTAATAAACAGCCACTGTTACACTCTTGTACACTTTTTATTATATAATACATGTTTCTCACTTAACCACTGTGTTACATATGAAAAATTAGATTTGATTAGTATCGTTTTTGGGCCCAATCCCTAAGGAAGTCAGTGTCAAATCTCTTGTTGATTTCAATGGGACAGGATCAGGTCTATTACATAAGGAAATATCTTTGCTACCAGATTCTTTTAACCAAATACAGAAGCAAATTAATCTATTTGATAACTGAATTCTGGTTTTGTCTGATTATTCATATGTACAAATTAGGGCTGTTGATTAATCGCAGTTAACTCATGTGATTAACTCAAAAAATTAATCGTGATTAATCGCAGTTTTAATCACACTGTTAAACGAGAGAATACCAATGGAAATTTATTAAATATTTTAGATATTTCATATATATCTTGTATTCTGTGTTGTAACTGAAATCAAAGTATATATTTTGATTACAAATATTTGCACTGTAAAAATGATAAAAGAAATTGTATTTTTCAATTCACCTCATACAAGTACTGTAGTGCAGTCTCTTTGTCCTGAAAGTACAACTTACAAATTTAGATTGTTATATAACTGCACTCAAAAACAAAACAATGTAAAACTTCAGAGCCTACAAGTCCATTCAGTCCTCCTACTTGTTCAGCCAATCGCTAAGACAAACAAGTTTGTTTACATTTAAGGGAGATAATGCTGCCCTCTTCTTATTTACAATATCACCAGAAAGTGAGAACAGGCATTTGCATGGCACTTTTGTAGCCAGCATGGCAAGATATTTACGTACCAGATATGCTAAACATTCGTATGCCCCTTCATGCTTTGGCCACCATTCCAGAGGACATGCTTCCGTGCTGATAACGCTTGTTAAAAAAAAGAGTTAATTAAATTTGTGACTGAACTTCTTGGGGGAGAACTGTACGTCCCCTGCTCTGTTTTACCCACATTCTGCCATATATTTCTTGTTATGGTAGTCTCAGATGATGACCCGGTATAACATGTTGTTCGTTTTAAGAACACTTTCACTTCAGATTTGACAAAACGAAAAGAAGGTACCAATGCGAGATTTGTAAAGATAGCTACAGCACTTGACCCAAGATTTAAGAATCTGAAGTGCCTTCCAAAATCTGATAGGGACAATGCTTTCAGAAGTCTTAAAAGAGCAACGCTCCTATTCAAAAACTACAGAACCCAAACCACCAAAAAAGAAAATCAATCTTCTGCTGGTGGCATCTCAGATGATGAAAATGAACCTGCGTCGGTTCGCACTGCTTTGGATGGTTTTCGAGCAGGACCCTTCATCGGCATGGACACGTCCTCTGGAATAGTGATTGAAGCATGAAGGGACATATGAATCTTTAGCGTATCTGGCACGTAAATATCTTGAGACGCCGGCTGCAACAGTGTCATGAGAACACCTGTCCTCACTTTCAGGTGAAATTGCAAACAAGAAGCGGGCAGCATTATTGCCTGCAAATGTAAACAAACTTCTTTGTCTGAACGATTGGCTGAGCAAGTAATAGGACTGAGTGGACTTGCAAGCTCTAAAATTTTACATTGTTCTATTTTTGAATGCAGTTTTTTTGTACATAATTCTATATTTGTAAGTTCAACTTTCATGATAGAGATTGCAGTATAGTACTTGTATTAGATTAATTGAAAAATATTATTTATTTTGTCTTTTTACAGTGCAAACACTTGTAATAAAAAATAAAGTGAGCACTGTACACTTTGTATTCTGTGTTGTAATTGAAATCAATATATTTGAAAATGTATAAAACCTTGAAAAATATTTAAATAAATGGTATTCTATTATTGTTTAACAGTGCAATTAATCGCATAATTACTCTTTTTAATTGCTTGACAGCCCGAGTACAAATTAGTCTTAATGATAATTAATTGTTTTTGCCTTACTTGTGGATCTCCCATTTCCTCAGGGGGAGGGGAAGAGATGAAGGAGAAGGGGAGGGTCACCCGTCTTCAATACACTGTACTGTATCTCAAGCCATATGGAAATCCTCTGTGCAGTAGCATAGCCAGGGAGAGAGCGGGGGGAGCGCCCGCTCCCCCTCTGAGCACAAGAAGCATCTTTTTAATTTCTAGGCGCCTTTTTAAACTTTTACGCACCCGGCAGTGCTCCAGCTCCTCGGCGGCGGAGGCCTTCAGTGCCGCCGAGGACCCAGAGCGCCACCCGGTGAGTACAAGCGGGTGGCACCTTTTTTATGTCTGCTGCCCCTGTTCGCGCCACATAGCTATACCACTGATTCTGTGGGTGCAGTGAGGAGAAGGTAGAGGCAAAATCTTGCAGATTTTTGTCCCTCTGGCCCTGGGCCTATAGATGTTTCCACAGAAGACGGCAATCCACCAATACACTGTCCACACAGGTGAAAAATACTTTAAAATTTTTTTCTTATTGTGCTTTCTGCAGTTGGAATTCTTCCTATTTGTAATGATTTGAGCTCTTACAATATTTCAGGATGGGAATAATTTTCAGGAGCACCGAAAAGATGTTTTTAAAGATTCAGTGAGATTTAGATGCATTTGAAAATTTTATCAGACACCTTATAATTCTTTTTGGTCACATATTTCATTTATATCTTTGAATTTACTTTAAGTTGTGTTCTTTAAAGTATGTGTCTATTATGAACATAAATGAATGCCATTTTCAACATGTAGTCCACTGGGAAATTGAAAAAGAATAGGATATTATATTTTAATGGTTTGTGTGGTATTAAATAACTGTCAATTTTTGTAGACTTTAATATCTGTTTTCTAAAAGGTTAATTTCACTTATTTTCCAAATACACAAAATAAAATTACTTAAGAAAAAATATTGATCAAACAAGCACTTTAAATATACACTGTGGGGAAATTAGATTTTTAAAAATCCTACACAGTAAGGTCACTATTATATCTGTAGTCTTGGATATATTATTATTTATAGGGAATTAACCTTCCCTGTTTATGAAGTATCCATACTGTTTTATTTTAAGTGATTTTATTTGCTTAGTCAGTTAGAGAAATCCAACTTCTTTGGGTATATGTCCACCAAAAATACATCAACATTATAATATTTCCATGTGCTACAAATCACATTCAAGATATTTACCTTAAATTTTAAATATTTATTTGAATTTCTTGTAGATCTAGATATATTGAACATATTAACTGAAGATAACTCCCCTAACAATGCAGCACACCATTTTTGTTTTGCCATTTAGAGCAATTTTTAGACATATGCCCCATCACGCTGTAAACTTACCTGATACCTTAGCTATAGGTGTCTTGAGAAGCTAGCCAGTTTGAAGTATGAACCTGTGTCACCAATGAAAAAGAACTGAATCTGTGAGTCAGATTTTCTGAACATTTTTTTTACACAATCTCTTATTTTTAATTTTTTTTTTTAAAGAAAAGAAGATTGTATAACCTCTTTCAGGAAGGCACTTTTCTATTGATTTAAAATGAAGTTGCATCTTTACCTTGAATATAATAACATTTACCCATCTTTCAGTTGATTACTTTTTACTGTCTGCCTTATGATATGCTATATAGACAACCTCAAGACTTTACATTTATCTTCTGTCTTTGTTCTGTAGGGATATTCTTTTGTTGCTCCTTCTATCTTGTTCAAGCGCAATGCAGCCACAGTAGATCCTGTTCAATTTCATATGGGAGTTGAAAGACCTGGAGTTACAACTATTGCCAGAAGTGCTATGATGAAGGTAATGATAATATCTAAATAAAAATAACCCTTGATAATTTGAAGATGCTCATGATTTACAAGGTAATAATCTTATTTTAGGCTAAATAAATTCTGAATCCAGAGGCTGAAGTACTAATTAGTTGTTGAGAAGTAATTTACAGTCATTATGCAGTTATCTGCTCTTTGTCTGGTCATGGATCTTCCACCAATTAGAGCATTCAGTTTACATACTCTACAGTTAAGAAATAACTTGAGTCCAACCTTGAAAAACTGTTGTTAAAAATCACAACAGTGACACACCCTTACCAGCAGAAGAGCAATGAAAATATTAACAATACTTTTACTCAACTGTCAAAATGGTACTCACCCTAGGTAAGTAGATGTTTTCAAAGCTGCTCCGGTTATTAACTCGCATCTCTCTTTCTAGGATATGTCTGCCTATATTTGCATAGATAGATACAGCTAGAAATAGATTCTGTATGATAACCATCATTGTGGTGTCTCCAAATAACCACACAGTTCGTGGATCAATATCTGTAAATCATCCCTGACGCTGTCTAAATATTTTTGTAGCTAAAGCTATTCTGATAGTAAATTTAATTTCAGAATTTTTGTTTAAAGTGTCTTAAATATGTGTGTATTCTCTGCACCATTAGAGAAGTTTATGTATATAATTACACATTATTATTATCAGACAGTCTCAATTTATACTATGTTGTTTACCAAAATGAGATCGCTTTTGAAACTGTATATTTGGATCTTTAAATGCAGATGAATAATTATCACCAAAATTTATTGTGTCTTTGACTGTGTACCAAAAGTATTACACAGAACTAAATACAGTCAGTTTCATGACAGGACTCTCCATTTTATCATCACTATGAACTGGATCTGAAAGAGAAACCACTGGGAGAAGGAAGTTTTTCCATCTGTCGGAAGTGTTTACACAAGAAAACTAGCCAAGAATATGCAGTAAAAATAATTAGCAAAAGGTATACGTATTTACTAAAACAATAAAAACTTTTTTTTTGCTTAGTATCACCAATGAACTAGAATAATATTCACTGAATTTTGCATGTGAAAAAAATGTTGGTTTAAAACATCAGTTTTCGTTTGAGAATTCAAAAGGCATCATATGGTAATATGAATTTTTTTAATTGGAAGATTTTGAAGTTTGGGGCTAACTGTGCTGCTTGTAGAATGGGATAAAGAGGAAAGAAACATCCATAATACTTTTCTTGTGCAGATTTGTTCCCAGTTGTTCTGTGTCCCCGTTACATTCCTCTCCCAGCAGAATAGTTTGTTGGGTCCTCTCAGAGTCTGTGGATCAACCTGGGATCTTTAGAAGGTCAGGGTCATCTGAATGGTAGTCCATGGTAGCTTACCCTGCACCCCAGTTGGCTTCCAAGCAGCATAAAGCCAGTGGCTGATCTGGGGATCCCCAGCATGGATTCAGAGACAAGCACAAAGTTAATATCTCAGGCTGTATTAACTTTCTGTGAGAAGCTCAACTAGGCCAACGAGGGATGATGTGTATCCCTTTCCTGACTCACTGTGGGGCCCAGGACAAGGGAAACACTTCTGTGGGGGCAGCTGACCTACTTTCTGTGATCCTCTGATTCCAGAATGCTAGTGGCAGATGATTTAGAATGAATGGAAATCTTGATTGATTGATTTATTTTTTCAATGTGTTGTTACCTTCCTTTCCTCAGCGTTCACTGAAACAATTGTGCATATCAGTTTGTAGACTGCTTGCAAGGAAGGAAAGGGTTGGGAAAGTGAATATTTAGTAACCAAATAGATAGATGATGACCACTTTGGCATCATGACTCTCCCCAGTCTATTTGGCTGTACCTCTTTCTGCAAATATTGGAGGCAGTTCAAACTTGTCCTTGAGGCTCTGGGATTTGACTACACCCCTTATGCCTGCATGCCAGGTTTTCTGTATTAGTTGGTGCAAACAGGGCATCAGTTCAGTGCTCCTTATCCATTAATTTACTAGCTTTTAAAGTCGACTCTGGTGGTAGTGAGCAACATCTTTTTCTCTACTCTTTCCTTTCCCTTACAGGACCAAACTTTCAGGGGCTTTGTCCCTAGATAGGATCATAATAATGAGTTCCTTCTTGTTATTTCTCTCCCCACCCCCCAAGTATGCCAGAGCAGGCTGGAGCAAGCTGAAGGTAAGAGTTGGTCCACCTGCAAAGATTACTGGCAGCTTTTTACGGAGCTCAGAAACTGGAGAGCTTGTTGGGACTTCTATTTCTCCGATCACCACTTACACATGCCACACTCCCCAACAACTCCCTTCCTCAGTCAAGACTCCCCTGAATAGACCTCTATAAATATGGGTCAGTCCTTTTCAGCTCTTGGGATTAAGCAAACTGGATTCCCCTCACACGCTCATTATTCTTCAAGGATAAGTCTAAAACTCCTGAACCTCTTGAGTCGATCTCCTATAAAGGGAAAAGCTCCAGGGTCCTATTCTAGGTCCACATGTGAATAATTGAGTCACATGGTAAAGACTTTGGCATATTTTCAGACTTTTCTTCCTAAGATGCAGATCTAGGCCCCTTTAGGGATGTTCTCCCTATGCTTCTTCTAGTTACATTTTAGATGATGAGGTGCATGATCATCCCCACTGTACCCCCCACCTCTCCGAAAAAGTTCCCTTCCCTAACAAGGGAAATCACCCTTTTCCTTCAAAGGGAAAGCACAAGAGAAAAGCAAAGAAGTGCTTAAAATTCTCATCTTCCTGACACAGTAGCACAGGGGTGGGCAAACTTTAGCCTGTTGGCCACATCTGGCCCATCAGACCTTTTAATCTATCCCTCAGCTCCCGCCGGGGAGCAGGGTCGGGGGGCTTGCCTGGGAAGCAGCCAGCATGACCCCCTTCCCCCCACGGGTCCTAAGTAGTATGTGGAGGTGCAGCCAGGTAGCTCTGCATGTTGCCCTATCTGCAGGTGCCGCCCCCACAGCTCCCATTGGCCACAGTTCCCGGCCAGTGGGAGCTGCGGGTGCGGCACCTGCAGACGAGGCAGCGTGAAGAGCTGCCTAGCTGTGCCTCCACGTAGGAGCCGGAGGGGGGACATGCTTCCGGGAGTTGCTTGAGGTAAGCACAGCCCAGAGCCTGCACCCCTGACCGGCCCGCCCCCGCCCCCTGCACCTAAATCTCCTGCCCCAGCCCTGATCCCCCTCCTGCCCTCTGAACCCCTCAATCCCAGCCCAGAGCCCCCTCTTGTACCCCAAACCCCCCTCTTGTACCCCAAACCCCTCATCCACGGCCCCACCCCAGAGCCTTCACCCCCCCACCCAGTCCCCAAACAGCCTGCCCCATCTCTGATCCCCTTCCTGCTCTCCGAACCCTTCAATCCCAGCCCAGAGCACCCTCCTGCACCCCAAACCATTCATCTCCAGAGCCCACACCCCCAGCCAGAGCTCTCACCCCCCACACCCCAACTCCCTGCCCCAGCCTGGAGCCCCCTTCAGTACCGTGAACTCCTCATTTCTGGCCCCATCTCAGAGGCTGCACCCCTAGACGGAGCCCTCACAACCCTCCTGCACCCCTACCCCCAATTTCTTAAGCATTCATGGCCCACCATACAATTTCCATACCTCGATATGGCCCTCAGGCCAAAAAGTTTGCCCACCCCTGCACTAGCACCTCTCCCTAAAAAGGAGAAGTCTTGGCTTTGGTTCATAATAAACTGTAAAACCAGAGAAATGAAAGGTTCTTTCCCCAGACATGTATACAACTAAGGGGAAGAAAGTGGTAGCTAAAGGAGAAGAATGAGCAATTAAAGCCTGTAGCAAATATCTCCCAGTCAGAACTAAAACAGAATTTGCTATTCCCCTCCAGCCTCCTCAGAAGAAATCATTAGGATGGTATGGAAAACGCTGACAAAGGGGAAAGTCTCATTAGATAAGCCCAGGGTCTTAGAATCCAATTTTTTTCTTTTTATGCTCCTTGAGATTGATGTAGAAGTGGCATTCCTGGCAGTGGACATGGTCATTCCTGCTGAGGGTGATTTCTTCTCAAACAACCCCACTCACAAGAAGATAGAAACCACCCTTAGAAGGTTGCTCTTATAGTTTCACTGACAATCGTGCTTTGTTAGAGCTAAAATCACAGATGGTCATGTGCTTTGTTAGTGCAAAGACATAAAAAGCCTTGATCCTCAGAATCATGATGAATTCAATAGAGCACTAAAGAAAATATCTCTAGTTACTGCATTCATGATGGACAAATCCATACTCTACATAAAGCAGGCAGCAAAAGTTGTGGCAGCAAACTCAGAGGTCAGGTGCCAACTCTGGTTTAAACCCTACAGTAGATAAGTAAATCATCTGTGCCACACAATTCTGAAGAAGGATTCTTATTCAGGGAGAAGATTGGTAATGTGGTAGTTGCATACACATCAGCCCAGGCATTTAATCTCCACTCCAGTTAAGTCTGAGAAGGACTACGAGTGCTGATACAAAGGCAGAAGCTCCTTTTGGTCCTACCCATAGCAAATGTAGCAGAGAAGTGACTCTGATTCCTGGTTAAAATCTGAGCCTGAAACACTAGATGAAAGCCCAGATCAGGAAAGTGGTTCAATCCCTGCTTCTAGCCCAAATAGCCAATATGTCAACAACTGGGCCCATCACCATCCAGTTGTTCTTTAAATGTATTACAAATCCAGGTACGAAGCAAAGAGGGGGTCATCTGGTTTACTTCTTGCGAGCTTCCCAATTCCTTATCACCCTGTTGTCTACCTAAGAGTATAAGATAGGTGCAAAGAGAGCCAGAATCTTCATATTGCTGGAAAGGTTCAACAAAATCCAGACACTGATCTCTGAGGTATCATGGAGCTGCATGTCATTGATCCATCTTTCCTGTGACTCCTAAGTCTTCTGGTCTCATGCCTAGAGATTCCTGTAATGACAAGACAGTATAAGACAATGTCAGATATTCTTCTTAAGAGCCTGGAATCGCTCTCAACAGCAAATGAAAAGTAAAATGAAAAGACCATCCAAAGTGGTTCAGTTTGTCACTTGCTGGTTACAGGAAACTCGCGTGATAATAGGGTCTTTCCTCCACAATTCATACCTCAAAATCCTGGCCATAAATGACACCCTTTCATTTTGAAAAGCACAGCTTGGGAACCACAATATATATAGGGGACATGTTCAAGGTCAAAAAGGATCCAACTTGTGATCCATCAACTCCTTTATAAATCAATACAGACCTGACCTTCTCTCTGCAGAAGCAACCTTTGGCGGGAATGTTCTTCAAGCAGTTGCCCAAAGATAGATTCACATTAATTTTGAGGAAAAAAGGAACACTGTTCTATCTTCTCTCCATCCCTCCAATTTTTTTCATACTGCTAGCTATGTCCCACATGTCTTGGATTCAGGGAGCTGTCGGTATAGAATGAAAAAAATTGTTACCTGATGATTCTTCTTCGAGTGATGTCCCTGTGGTTTCTCCATTTCAGATGTTGGTGTGTCCCGGCACTGTTGATCAGAGATTTTCAGTAGCAGTGTCTGTCTAGGATGCATGTGCAAAGTAGTCGTCTTGTGGTGCCTTCGGTGCCTCATCTAGCATACATGCAGTCCAACCCCTTCAGTTCCTTCTCAATCGTCCCTGGCCTGAGACAGAGCTCCATGGCGATGTCCCAATGTCTCTCTCAAACCTTGACAAATATAATTAGAAATAGTTTTAGCTTTTTCCTAATATAGTTAGTTTAGTTTAGTTTAGGCAGTTCAAATTTTTTTTTCTTTTCCTCAGAGTGGGGAACACTTAACCTGATTCAACAATGCGTGGTTCCCAGGCTTTAAGAAATGCGGGTCTTGCCACAAAGCTATGCCCATCTCAGAAAGCTATTCTCTCCGTGTTGACTGCCTTGGTGATTTGCACATTCCCCAGAAGTGCACTCACTGCAGCAATTTGAAAGTGAGGGCCAGGCGTGATTGAGACCTCCATCTAAAACTTATTCTGATGGAGAAATCTCTCCAACCGGCCTCTATTCCTGGATAACAGACCCCTTCCACAGAGGAGTCCCTGGGCACATCCACTTCAACTAAGGACAACACTCAGTCCTCTAAAAGATTGAGGTAAAGAGCCACGACCTCTCCGCTGAGAGAGCTGTATAAAAAGAAACCGTCATCTGCCAGGTTGCTGTCCTCGGTGCTGATCAACCCCTGGGTGAGCACTTTGAGGCATGGGGAACCTCCGGCACCATCTACACTGGGACCTCTGCTGAGCCCCATCAGAAGGACAAGGAGTCGAGGCACAGATCTAAGATGCCTCCTCCCCTATGGCATTGACCATCAGTACTGATGGCACCAACATCACCGCAGAAATTCCTGCAACAAAAAGATATCATGGTCTTTTCCATACCACAGTCCCTGCTCTTCAGCACCATTGGCTCCCCTGAGCATACAGCATCGGACCAAGCAGTATCACCTACCACCCCACCATTCTCCAGCAAAGATGACGATGACCAGAAAGAGGGTGTCTTCTCTTCAGACCATTCCTCACCTACAGAACACAGACCACCTTGGGAACCCATGAAATCAAAGGTCCCTTATAGACATGCAACCATGGTACAGGTAATCATGGATTTGCCCACCTATGCCCTACTGCAAGCAGTGGTCATCTCGGGATCCATGGGCAGCATACAGGACTCATTACAACAGACCCTCAACTCCACCCAGAGGTGAAATCAGATCACCATCCTCCATAATGGAGATCTCGGAAGCCCAGGCGGTAATGGGGGATGCGAGGGAAGAGGGCATCAAGCAGGACATAACTCTTCTTCATCACCAGAGGAAGCAATAATGCTCCCACCACAGCAGACGATTTCAAATAGTTCCAAGAACTGTTCAAAAGGGTAGCTCAGAGTCAGGACACCCATCACAAACTCCTCCAAATTCTATAGACGTAGCTGATGTCTAAAATAGCGTTGTCATGAATGACGCCATCATGGAACTGGCGGAGACAATCTGGCAAACACCAGCTACTGTCCCACTAGCATGCAAGAGGGCGGACGGGAAGTACTACATGCCCACCAAGGGTATGGACTTCCTTTTTTCCCATCTACCACCCAACTCCTTAGTAGCAGAGGCTGCAAATCAGTGTGGCAAACAACCACACTACAGGTGCACTCCACAGGACAAGGAATACAAGAGATTCAATCTCTTCAGTCCGAGGGTCTATTCTTCAGTGACACTACAAGTGGTAAATTACAGTGTGCTCCTAGCCAACTATGAGCATGATAATTATGGCAAGCTGAACGAATTTATTAATGACCTCCTAGAGGAAGGGCTTGCAAAATTCAAAGCCATACTAACTAAGGGACAGCTGGTTGCCAGAACGGCACTACAAGCATCCCTGGACATAGCAGACACGAAGGTGAGAACAGCAGTCAGAGCTGTAGTAATGCACAGAGCATCATGACTGCAATCTTCAGGGATTCCAAAAGATCTCCAAGTGAAAGTGGAGGATCTCCCATTTGACAGAAAAGCCTTATTCTACCAAAACAGACAAGGTCCTCCACTTGATAAAAGATTCCTGAATGACTCTTCATACTCTCGGTATACATACACCTGCCATGAAACAGAGACATTACCAGCCATACCAATGAAACAGACACATACTTCCAACCTCAGCAACAACAAGAATATGAACCCCAAAATCAATGACCACTACCAATACAGAGTCCTACCTTTCGGCCTTTCCCTTGTGGGAGTAGTGGCACACTTCCTCAAACAAGGAATAATCATTTTCCCATATCTAAGCTGTTTACTAAAAGGGCCTACCCGCTTAGACGCAATAGACAACTTTCAGAGGACTATCACTCTCTTCTGGAAGGTAGGGTTACAAATAAACAAAAAGCGACCCTAGGTCCCATACAACAATTGGACTTCATCAGGGCTCGCCTCGACTATGGAGGCCAGGGCATCATTACCGATGAACAGATTCATAACTCTGACCAATCTTATCTAGGTAGTCACGACTAGCCCACAAATATTGGCATGAACCTGTCTACAACTATTAGATCACACGGTGGCCATGACCTTTGTGGTAAAACATGCAAGACTAAGCATGTGCTGCCTACAAGGTTGGCTGAGTTCAGTGTACATATCAAGCAAACACAACCTGAACAGAAGCCTAACACTGCCATCAAAAGTACTGGAATCTCTTCAGTGGTGGACAAGAATGGAGAATGAATGCACAACAGATGCCTCGTTGATAGGCGGGGCACCCATCTGAACTAGCATATGATCCAAGGGAGGTAGTCATTTACCAAGACCCAACTACACATTAACCTACTAGAATTATGCGTGGTGTACAATGCCTGTCTTCACTTCCTCCCACTGATAAGTTACGAAACAGTATGCGTGATGACCAACATTCATTGCATGTTCTATATAAATTGACAAGGAGGAGCCCACTCTCACTCACTATGCATCGAGGCTATGAAGCTGTGGAACTGGTGCATAAATCACAATATAAATGTTGTAGTCTTCTACCTCCCAGGTGCCAGAATATGATGGCGGATACACTGAGCAGATAATTTTCTCAGGACCAGGAATGGTAAATGAACAGCAAAGTCCTACTATACATATTTCAGTGATGGGGCTTCCCTCCCATCGATGTATTCACAACATCACAAAATCAAAAATGCCCCCACTTTTTCTCAAAAGCAGGAATGGGATCCCGATCACTGGGGAATGCCTTCCTAATCACCTGGGACAAATCACTCTTTATGCATTCCCACCGATACTGCTGCCCTCGCAGGTAATACACAAGATACATGTCAACATAGCCAAGGTGATACTGATAGCCCTGACATGGCCCAGACAGAACTGGTACCCTTACCTGATGCACATGGTGGTATGCGCTGCATGAACTCTCCCACTTCAGACGGACCTGTCATCACAGGACGATGGTCAAGTTCTCCACCTGAATCTGGAGAAATTTCACCTGAAAGCATGTCTCCTACATGGTTCCATCATGATGAGTTACACTGTTCAGAACAAGTAAACATGTATTACTAAACAGCAGGATGTCAACCATGCACAATGTGTACCTCCAAAAATGGAAAAGATTCTCCTTATGGTGTCAGAAAAACAGATAACTGAAGTTACTGCACCACTTCTGTTAGTGTTGGACTACATATTAGAGTTAAAGAGTCCGGACCTTTCAAAAAGCTCCATTAAAATACACCTAGAAGCCATTACTTTTGACTGAGATCGGAATATCAATATTTGTGCATCCAATCACCAACACTTCCTCACCAGTATGCTGAATGTTTATGTGAAGGTACACCAACCTACATCAGTATGGGACTTAAACCTGGTGCTCAAATGCCTTACCAGACCTCCATTTGAATCCTTAGCTACTTGTTCCCTACTTCTACTATCAGTGAAGATGGCATTCTTGGTTGCAATCACTTCCGCCTGGCGAGTTAGTGATACTGGGGCTCTCATGACCATATCCTTTTAGGGACAAGGTCACCTTGAGATTGCAAATTCCTACCCAAAATGTCATCTTCCTTTCATCTAAACTAACTGATCCACCTTCCTTTTTACCCTAAACCACACAGGAACACACAAGAGACTATTCCACATACTCTAGACGCCTGACGCTCAATAGCATTTAATCTGGACAGAACTAAGCCTTTCCGAAAATCCCTAAGGCTTTTCGTTTCCACGAATGAACATTTCATAGGCTATATCCACGCAGAGACTGTCAAAATGGATCTCTAGCTGCATCCAGTTCTATCAAAAGAACAAAACAGAACCCTTAACGGGCATCAGGTCTCATTCTACACTATCAGTAGCAATCTCAATGGCCTTTCTGAACAATGTACCAATAATAGCCATATGTAGAGCTGCTACCTGGGCCTCTGAACATACATTCATGAACCATTATGAAATCACTCAAGGTCAGATGCCATATTTGGCCTAACAGTGCTTTCTTCAACTATACAAACAACTCTGAAGCCCCTTCTGTACACAATGGGGAACTGCTCTACAGTCACCTGAAGTGGAGTACCCACAGGGATATCACTCGAAAAAGGAAAGAAGGTTACTTACCTTGTGCAGTAATTGAGGTTCTTTGAGATGTTTGTCCCTGTGGGTGCTCCACTACCCACCCTCTTCCCCTCTACTTCGGAGTCTGCAATAGGGACTCCACGGTAGAGAAGGACCTGAGGGGATTGGACCATGCACTAGATGAGGCGCCAATGGCGCTGCAACTGACTACTGCACACGTGCATCCCAGGCGGACACTGCTACCAAAAATCTCCGATGAACAGTGCCGGGATGCACCAATATCTGAAGTGGAGCATCCACAGGGACACACATCTTGAAGAACTTCAGTTATTGCACAAGGTGAGTAACCTCTTTTCTTTTTCTTTTCTGAAATTGATCCACTTCACCTATGATATTTGTAAGATTTCTTCAGAGTTCAAGTGTATAATGAATATAGTTGAGTATAGTGCTATTATTTAAAGTTTTATTATTTTATGCAAAATGGATTTAATGTTTCCATACAGCTTTGGAAGTACTTCTCTGGCATGAGGGTGGAACAGGTAGTGCCAATGTTTCAAGCCTAATGGGCAAGTCTGAATTGCTTATAGTGTTCGTAAAATAACAAAGTTTTTGTTCTTAATATGCCAAGACATGCCTGAATCATAAATTTGTTTTATTTATTTATTTACCCCCACTCTTGTTTGGTTGGTTCAGTTTGCTTGTTTGAAGGTGCTGATTTCTAATTGTGTATATCAAAAGGGCAACTGTTCTAATATTCCAAAATCTGGATTAGGAAGTGTTTAAAAAATAGATGTAACAATTTTCACTTTGAAATTTGCTCAGTTAAACTTGGTAATTTTCCAGAATGGAAGCCAACACCCAGAAGGAAATAACGGCTTTGAAACTCTGTGAAGGACACCCCAATGTAGTGAAGTTGCATGAAGTTTATCATGATCAGGTATTCTGAAGAAACTATAATAAGTATTTTCCAAACACATTTTGTTGCGTGTAGCATTAACTCTTGTGATAAAGCTTACTGCCACTCTGTATAGGTAGCTTTTTCCAACTAATTGAGTCTTGTCTATCTAGAAAAATTATAGCAAAAGCATTAAAGCCAAAGGAGATTACATTTTTATTTATATACAACAAAAATGTATTTGCGGGAGCTCAGGTATACTTACCTTCCTTCAGAGGTCTTGTGAAGTTTAAATGATATATGTAACATGCTTGGGAATCCTTGAATTTATGGTGCCACATAAGTACCAAGATTATTTCATAATTTTGTTTGTTTTCAAATGAGGCAACCCAAATAATATAATAAATTACCAAATTTAAAAGCAGCTCCTTTTTTAAAAAATATATTAGAATGTGCTTGAGTTTTATTTAGTTGTAGAAACCTCAGTTATCTATTGTATCCGAGCATAGCTCAAATGTAGTGGACAGTGGTGGCCTCAGAGAAACCAGAGCAGCTGGGGGGCCTACTCTAACTTGTTCTGCTGGTGTAAGCTCCCCAGCAGAAGATCAGATATAATAAAGCTGAGCTCCTCTACAACCCTGAGATGCCCCCAGCCCCTTCCAAAATATCTCTTATGCCCTTTATGCAAGGGTCTGAGAGAACAGCTGGTAGGCATATGCAGCACAAAAATGCACTTAGCAAACTGAAGAATCTGACCCACAATCTTTAAGGAAGGAGGAGATTTACATTTTCACTATTTATTCTTTATGTACTAAAATATGTTCAGAATGTATTATTAATGTACTTTTTTGAGTTCTTAATCAGAAAAATCTGTTTAAATTAGCTCTTCATGGCAAGGTGCTATATTTATTTTCTTCTTTTGAGCACAATCAATACTTAACAAACAAGATATAACAATAAATGTACTCTTAGATTATTGTGAATCTGAGTAGCCTACCTGCAACCAGCCACTCATCCTGCTTTTCATCCTTTTGCAACATGTATACAGTCACCACCTCGAGGCTTCCGCAGACTAGAGCTGGTCAATTTTTTCCAAATTTTGAAATTTAAAAAAAATCACAATTTTTTTTCTCAAAAATTTCCTTATTTTGTACTAGCTCTACTACAAATCTAATCAGGTTCTCCATTGGGAATCATGCTCCGATTGGACCTGCCAATGTTTGTCAGGCTGTGACTCTTTTTTGGCAAATCCTGGGACATTTGCCATTGAGAGAATATTTTTTATCCTCTTTCCCTGCCCCTTCCACTGTGTTCAGGAATAGGGGGAGAGAATTGCAGAAAAAGTAACCTGAGAAGCCGTGCCTTTAGCTTAACTAATTAGATATAGTCTCTGTGCCAAAAAATGCCCACCCATCTGCAAAATTCTGCTCCTCCTAATACTGCCCATCACCATGGTTAGGGGACAGACAAAAGGTAATATCTCTGTTCCCCTCACATCTTTTCAGACTTGTCTCACCTGCCCCAGATTATATCCTTGGAAGTTTTTGTTGGGAGATAGGACTGTGTAATGGGGTTTACAAATCCCAAACTGAGCATCGGCAGAAGGGAGAGGAGAGTCTTCCCTCGTTACAGGCAATCAGGCTGATCACACCCCTGCACAGCTACCAGAACTGCCAGTAATGGACTCATGCACCCACAGCTGTGACCAATGAAGTAAATAAGCCCAGCTATGAAAGAGGGAGAACAGAGGGAAAGGGGAGGCAAAAAGGCCTGGGATAGCAGAGGGGCAACAGCCCATGCCATGCTGCTTCTGAGAAACTGACAAAGAGACAAAAGGAGACTGCAAGCCTTGGAGTTTAAGGGCTGATAGACTCCATTTAAGTTAAGTATTCATGGACTGGTCTAATTGTAGATGAAGAGGACCAGTTAAGACAAACCTAGGACTCCTAGACAGACTGAATCAAGAGCAGTTGACAGGGTGACAATGGCCATATCAGATACTCATACCCATTGTTTTTCAAGGCTGGTTGGCTAACCAGCCCCATCTTGCTTAAGGGAACTACTGAGTTCTCAATTCCAAGGTACCAAAATCTTTGTGGTGAAGGGCTGTAGCCCTTTTCAAGCTTGGTGAGGTCACAGCCCATCTGACAGAGTGAAGAAAGTGTGGGCTATGGTTCTCCCCCTTTTTATAGAGGTGAAGCCTATATAACAGTCTCCACAATGAGTGGGATTTCCCTGTGCTGGGGAATTCCTATGTAAAGAGGTCAGGGATTTCCCAGCTGAGGAAACACTGCCTACCCTGTATCTCTCCAGTCTCTGGGCAGGATTACCCTAACATAGGGAAACCCTGATCCAAAACACCCTGCTGGCTTCCAGTCTGTGAGCCTTCTGCCCGCCCCCCCCCACACCCCGCCCCAACAACCTCATGCCCTACATTACTTCCCTGAAAATGCTATACTTTTCCCACTGCTCCCACCTTTACATCCCCATAGTCTTTATGTTTTTCCTAGATCCCCAAACCTGACTGCTGTCTCGTTGATTTTCCATAACTCTCCCCACAGCCCTACCAGTCTCATATTTCTAGCTGTCTCCCACAAATCTTATGTCCCTCCATCCAATAGTCCTTATGCCTCCCTGTCCTGGCCTCCCCCCATCAGCCCTCTTCAGTCTCTTTGTAGTTTTCCCCTACTCACCAACCGTGTTGTTCTTCCCTCCTCCCATTATGATCATCTGCCAAATACACCTCCTTCAAAATGGCCCCTTCCTCAACATCCTTTAATGCCACCTCTTCTCCAGTACTCCACTAACCCCCTGCCAACAGTTAACAGGTTTTAAAGAAACAAGGAAATTCTCACAAAAAATACTATAATTTCTCCCAATCACAAGCAAACATATGACATTTACTCCAAATTCAGACTTTGTAAAGGTACAAAAAAAGACTTCTCAAAATTAGTTTTAAGGATTTAATCTTGTTGAAGTTGTAATTAAGTTTGTGTGATTGAGCATAATTCCATGTATTACGGATGCTTGTATGTTGGAAGGAAAAAGGAGTTTGTTGTGAAGTTTTGGGTTGCATTGGTGATATGTTTGGGCATTGGTGACAAGGCATGTGAATTGTGATTGGTCTTTATGTTAATGTTTGCCTTAAGTGGTGACTTCCTTGATTTTAAAAATTTTTGTCTTAAAGGAAATACACTCGCACAACCTTCCCTTTTAGTAACAAAGTTTACTGTTTGGGAATATTAAATATATGTTGTGGTTCTAGTAATGGTACAGCAGCAGCATGAATGCTTCTATGTGGGAGATGGGATCTGAAGCAGTTGTGCTTTCAGGAGGCTGTGAAAGGATTAGGAACTTTTTCTGCTGTTAACTTTATGTTTGTGATTAATTCTTCATGCATAGTGATAAAAAATGTACCCTTATGTGGAAGCAGGCAGTGTTCACCACTCTTTCAGCTAGTTTCTACCCACTAATGTGTATAAGTGAATCCCATAGATGTCAGTGGTAGCTGTGAGCATCAGACACCTCTAAGAGTAGGATTTGGTTCTTAATATTTTTGGTCTCGTGAAACAGCATTGTAAACAGAAGCTTTACTCATCCTGACTTCTGGAAAGAGAGAACCTACTGCAGTATAATATGTAGCTGGTGGAAGACAAATGTGTTTTGATGCAGAACAAAGAACCAGACAAAAGAACTGATGAGAAAAAAGTGCTGTTATGCTTTGCAGTTTAAAAGGCTATATTTTCCCACCTCTTTCTGTCTTAAATGATACAGGTTTTGTTTTTCCTAAATACAGTTGTGTAGTATTTTTAATACGAAACAGTAAAAAGTTAAGACCTAATTATTAATAATTAAAATCCTCAAAGTGTTGGTATATAATCTGATTTTTCTAAGGTTTCACATTAAACTGTTTTTTGTTTTCTAGCTTCACACATTTCTAGTAATGGAACTGCTGAAGGGAGGAGAATTGCTTGAACGCATTCAGAAAAAGAAACACTTCAGTGAGACAGAAGCCAGTTATATCATGCGCAAACTTGTTTCAGCTGTGAGCCACATGCATGATGTAGGAGTAGTCCATAGAGATCTGAAACCTGAGGTATAGTGTGGTATGATTGTATATATTATTGTTCTAATACCTTAGTTACACATTCTATAACAAAGCAGTGTAACCCTTTATTAAAGGGCATGGTTACTTTAATGGAAGAAGTACTGTAATTAGTGTGTTTTTCTTGCCTTTTTTTGTTTTTTATTGGGAAATGAAAGCTTCATACTTATTTACTGTCTAATTTTATTTTATTCCATTATGCTATGCAATCAATAGTAAAAACAATAAAATACTCAACTCAGATAAATAACTGATCTATACATTTTGAATTTTTTATTTATAATCTTAACTCCACCATGTAGCAACATGATGAGAAAAAAAAATCTGTCTTCAAAATTCAATGTTGTCTCCTCAGGGACAAAAATTCTGTTATGTTCTGATCATAAATGTATGGTTATTGCATAGCATAGCTACAAAGTGGCATTAAGGTTGTTTCAGTGCCTTTACTGTCCATTTCCAGGCCTCCTTGTACTTCACTGTGAATTCCTGGGTTTGAAGTGGTTGTTTTTGATGGAATTACAGTGTCCTTGTACTGTTTTTACCCTCAACCTTACTCTAGTTTAATACAGTTTTCACCTGAGAAATAATATAGGTGAGGAGGTAGTGGGTCTGGTAGTTAAAAAGAGGGTTGTGGGGATCAGCAGGAGTCTGAACTAAAATCGTTGCCTGAAGCCAGAACTCTGAGGGGATAAGAAAGTAATCTGCCTCCATCAACCCACTAAACCTACTAAACTCCACCAAAAAACAGAGCACTGCAATGCAGAGGATGGATTCTCAACATAAAAATTAAAAATACCTCATTCAGAAGGGTGTTTCCAGCTCACAATGTGGAGAGGCCTCTCAGACTCCAAGTGAACAACACATAGATGTCAAAGCAGACAGAAATGTGAAGGCTGAAGAAAATGAGTCACCAAGGCAGACAATTTGGGAGTTGATCTTCAAGGCCTTGAGAAATGATCTGATGACTGATTCTAGCAGTAAAGAAGGAAGTAACTGATTTGAAAGGTTGAGTCATTGTCTGTGCCAGAGATTGGCCTAAGAAGCTAGTGAGAGACAGCCATTGCTGCAGAGCTGCATGACACTGTTGGAACACAGAGAGAAGCAGCTTAAATTGGATGATCTAGAAAACAGAGTGCGAGGAACAACGTCAGAATTAAGAGACTGCCTGAAAATGCTGGAGGAGGAAATACAATCCAGTATGTAAAAATTTTAATCGTAGATTTGTTAAATCTCAGTTCTCTAGAAGACATGAAAGTGGAGAGAATGCATATGGTTCTGTTCCCCCCACTTGGAGCTTATAATAGACCCAGTGATTTGATTGTGAAATTTCATCAATGTCAGCAGAAAGATTTAACTATGGAAAGAGCCAGAGAACATTCAGAGTTTATACCCAAAGATGACAAGTTGTAATTTTTGCATGACCACTGTCCCTAACTTTAAAAAAGAGAAGAGAGTTGGGGGAAGTTTCAGCAGCACTCAAGAGGGCAGATATATGCTACTGATGGGGATTCCCATTTAAATTCTCATTCAGCTTTCAAAATCCGTTTACCCAGTAAGAGACGTTACACAAGGAAAAACTACAGTCCACTCACTTGGAATAGAAATCAAAATCTCAGAAAGGCAAGAGGATACTCTGGAGGTGGAAACTAAGTATAAAATGGTGAAAATATCTTGACAGATGGTGAAACCCTAGAAAAGGAGGATAGGAAAAGAAAGACTCGAGAGAATGTACTGTCATTGGCAAAAAATGAACTTGTACAAGAGGACTCAGATACATGAGTAGTTAGCAAAAGATTACCCTGAAAGGACTTCTTGAGAGTCATCAGAAATGAGCAGTTTAACAGTAACTGTTAATGTTATAAAGAAAATAGTATGAAGTGTGTTTCAATTGGGATGATTATAACTGTATTTAGTGTAGAGCATATGTAGGACGATGGGGGGGGGGGGTGGAGTGTCCCAGGGATGGGGAGATTGGAGAAAATAGAAAGGGGTTGTTGAGGAGCACTTAGGGGTTCTGTGTAAATCCTCCCCATGTGACTCAAATAATAGGATGGCAATCTATCCCTAAGGTCTCACAGCTGGGGAATGTAACTCCTTTGGATTGCAAGAGAAACAGTTCATGGGGAAAGTTAATGTGTTTAGGGTTCAAGAAAGCGCAGTCGTTTGGTGTTTTGCTATTTCGGTATTTTATTTTTAAAATAAGGGGAATAATGCAGGAGAGGAGTGGGAGGGAGAATTAATACAAGACATAGCTATGGAAATTTACAAACAGAAATGGTTCTGAATAGAACATAATTTGCAACAAGAGACACTGGCCACTCAAGGGTTCATGCTATCAAACAGCTAAATAATCAGTTCCAAGTTTTTCAATAAGCGAAATAGTTAGTTATTCTCAGTGGTTGTTCCTTTTAAAATAACACCTTTGAATTTTAATGGGCTAAATAATGTCGTTAAGAGGAAAAAAGCCCTGGCTGAATTTTTAAAAATCCTCACTCTCAGATTATTTTACTTCAAGAAACTCATTTTTAGGAGTGGCATATTATGGGCATGAAAAGATGATTGGTTTCCAATCACAAGCAAAAAAAAAAGACTTCTTTAAAATACTGCAACACTTTGGGGAAGGGAAATTATACTTGGAGGAGACTTCAGTTGCACACCGATTCCTTATTGGACAGATCAGATAAAGAAGATGAAGTGTATAGGGAAGCAAGTGCAACATTGATTTCTCTGTGCCAAAAATTCAATCTCTCAGTTTGCTGGAGACAAATGCAGTTAGGGGAATGAGATTACACATTTTATTCACATGCTTATCATTTACATGCTCGAATAGATTTCATGTTAATCTCTAAATCGTTAATGAAGTGAACAAGACCTTTTGTACAGAAGAAGAGGAACAATGGATTCTTCTTTGAGCTATTGGACATGTCCATTCCAATGTAGGTGTGTGTGTGTGTCTTGTGCACAGATGTCAGAGATATTTTTTTTTCCCTCAGTGCTACCCATTAAGGTGGCTCGAGTGCCCCCTTTTGCTGTGCCACAGCATGCTGGTATAAGAGAGCGGAGCTGAGCACCTCCTGTTCCTTCTTGCCACCAGTGGTGGTTTTCAGAGTGATCTCGGACTTGTTTACTCAAGTGCATCCCTCTCATTTTAAATAGTTGCAGTTAATTATTGTTTCTTATTAGATAGATAGTTTCTCAAGTAAGTTAGTGTTGTGTTTCTGTTTTTGATGTCCTTTGGTACTGTTTCTTTTCTTTTAGTACCAGGCTTGGTACCACAATGATGCCCTGCTCCTCAGGGTTTAAGTCCTGCTGGTCAGTGATCCTCATCCAACCTGCCTGAACTGCTTGGGTGAGGCCCCCATTAGTGACAAGTATCACATTTGCAAGGGCTTCAGTCCTCACTTAAAACAGCGAGACTTATGTGCTAGATTATGGGAAGCAACATTTTGACCCCCCAGTCAAGTCACTGCATGGGGAGAGCACCCCAAGTACTTCACCATGGTATGGAGTGCTCCATTAGTCGTATTTTTGGCTTCTCTATCCTGATCCATGGTACCGAAGAAGAGACCCAGACCTTCCTCAGGCTCAGCATCTTGTTCATCAGCCTCAGTACCCAGGCAAGATAGAGGCAAGGACACCTTTTGCACACCTTTTGCCCCACTGAAAAAACCCCAGTAACCTAGCTAATAAATAATAATAAATAACAAATTCAACTCATATAATTAATGAAAAATGTGTGTGCTGTATATGAGATTATATGAGAAATGAAAATTGGCCAATGAGCTGGGAGCTGGGTCAGTGCTGGGGCCTCTCCGCAGCACGCAGTGACTCCGGGGATGGGGGGAGCTGCCCCCGAGGTGAGAGCGCCCCATGTTGCCGATCCATGGCGCAGGGCCCCCCAAAGCATGGGGCCCAAACATTGGTGGAGTTGGGCCCACCTTCATGAATATTGATGGAGCATAGGCACCATGGGCCCATATAACTCGCCGCCTATGCCCCCATGCAGACACTAGTTGACCCCTAGCCTCTCCTATTCAGTCAGGCATATCTGCCCCTCTCCCCATGTGTCCCTGCATCCCCACTCCCATTCAGCCCCAGTCTGTCTCCACCCCACTAGCCCTTCTGAACCCCAGTCTGTGACCCAGCATCCCCGTGTGCCCTACTCTTTGTCCCCCACTTCATGTGTCTTCTCACCTGGCTCTACAGGCAGGGTGCTGTAAGGCAGTGGTTCTCAAAGCCAGTCCGCTGCTTGTTCAGGGAAAGCCCCTGGCACGCCGGATCACTTTGTTTATCTGCCGCGTCTGCAGGTTTGGCCGATCGCGGCTCCCACTGGCCGCGGTTCGCTGCTCCAGGCCAATGGGAGCTGCGGGAAGGGCAGCCAGCATGTCCCTTGGCCTGCGCCGCTTCCCGCAGCCCCCATTGGCCTGGAGCGCGGCCAGTGGGAGCTACGATCAGCCGAACCTGCGGACACGGGAAGTAAACAAACCTTTCCCTACACAAGCGGCGGACCGGCTTTGAGAACCACTGCTGTAAGGAACATAGCCTATTCGCATTCCTCTTTAGGGCTGGCTGAGCCGGCTGCCCTCTGTTCTGGTGCCACAGCAGCCCCTGGTGGGTGAAAAGCATAACTGCAGCACCTCTCCAGCAGAATGTATTTTCTGCAGAGAAAAAAAATTGCAGGGGACATTAATTATGTGCACAGACAGGGGCACAGAATTCTCCCAGAAGTAAGAGAAGACTTGGTGTTTGGTGGTCAGGTGCTTTTTTCTGACACAATAGATGAAACTTCACTACTTCAAGGATTCTAGGGCTACCCTGTGTTCCTTGGGGGTCGATACACTGGCAGTGCAGAGGCACCATTATGACAGACAGCAGCAGCAGCAACAATACCGGCCACAACACCCCTTTGGGCTGTCTGTCCCTCCCCCGAGAGAGCAGGACTACCCTAGCAAGGGGCATAGGTCCCAAAGGTGGAGGCATTCTGGTCTTGG